TAGCGTCAATCAGATCATCGTTTCACAGCCATATGATCATCGTCTCACAACCATAGCGTCATCAGATCATCGTTTCACAACCATAGCGTCATCAGATCATCGTTTCACAACCATAGCGCATTAGATCATCGTTTCACAATCATAGCGTCATCGGAGCATCGTTTCACAATCATTGCGTCATCGGATCATCGTTTCACAACCATAGCGTCATCAGATCATAGTTTCACAACCATAGCGCATTCGATCATCGTTTCACAACCATAGCGTCATCAGATCATCGTTTCACAACCATAGCGTCATCAGATCATCGTTTCACAATCATTGCGTCATCGGAACATCGTTTCACAATCATTGCGTCATCGGATCATCGTTTCACAACCATAGGATCATCGTTTCACAACCATAGTGTCATCGGATCATCGTTTCACAACCATAGCGTCATCAGATCATCGTTTCACAACCATAACGCATTAGATCATCGTTTCACAACCATAGCGTCATCAGATCATCGTTTCACAATCATAGCGTCATCAGATCACCGTTTCACAACCATAGCGTCATCAGATCATCGTTTCGCAATCATTCCGTATTCGGATCATCGTTTCACAATCATTCCGTCATCGGATCATCGTTTCACAACCATAGCGTCATCGGATCATCGTTTCACAATCATAGCGCATTAGATCTTCGTTTCACAATCATAGCGTCATCGGATCATCGTTTCACAATCATTGCGTCATCGGATCATCGTTTCACAACCATAGCGTCATCAGATCATAGTTTCACAACCATAGCGCTTTAGATCATCGTTTCACAATCATAGGGTCATCAGATCATCGTTTCACAACCATGGCGTCATCAGATTATCGTTTCACAATCATAGCGTGATCACATCATCGTTTCACAATCATAGCGTGATCAGATAATCGTTTCACAACCACATCGTAATCAGATCATCGTTTCACAATCATTGCGTCTTTAGATCATCGTTTCACAACCATTGCGTCGTCAGATCATCGTTTCACAACCATAGCGGCATCATATCATCGTTTCACAATCATTGCGTCATGGGAACATCGTTTCACAATCATTGCGTCATCGGATCATCGTTTCACAACCATAGTGTCATCGTTTCACAACCATAGCGTCATCAGATCATCGTTTCACAACCATAGCGTCATCAGATCATCGTTTCACAACCATGGCGTCATCAGATTATCGTTTCACAACCTTCGCGTCATTAGGTCATCGTTTCACAACCATAGCGTCATCAGATCATCGTTTCACAACCATGGCGTCATCAGATCATCGTTTCACAACCATAGCGTCTTCGTTTCACAACCATAGCGTCATCAGATCATCGTTTCACAACCTTGGCGTCTTTAGGTCATCGTTCCACAACCATGACATCATCAGGTCATCGTTTCACAACCATAGCATCATCAGATCATCGTTTCACAATCATAGCGTCATCAGATCATCGTTTGACAACCATGGCGTCATCAGATCATCGTTTCGCAATCATTGCGTCATCGGATCATCGTTTCACAATCATATCGTCATCAGATCATCGTTTCACAATCATAGCGTCATCAGATCATCGTTTCACAACCTTAGCGTCATCAGATCATCGTTTCACAACCATAGCGTCATCAGATCATCGTTTCGCAATTATTGCGTCATCGGATCATCGTTTCACAATCATTCCGTCATCGGATCATCGTTTCACAACCATGACGTGATCACATCATCGTTTCACAACCATAGGATCATCGTTTCACAACCATGGCGTCATCAGATCATAGTTTCACAACCATAACGCGTTAGATCATCGTTTCACAACCATAGGGTCATCAGATCATCGTTTCACAACCATAGCGTCATCAGATCATCGCTTCACAACCATAGCGTCATCAGATTATCGTTTCACAACCATAGCGTCATCAGATCATCGTTTCACAACCATAGCGTCATCAGATAATCGTTTCACAACCATGGCGTCATTAGGCCACGAGATACTGTACAAGTAACGTCGAAGAGATGCCTACAGAAACTAAGACAGTCAGTCAAACACCGGTGAGTGGAACTTTTATTTGATATGTGGAACTTACTGTTTTTTCAAAGTAAAGGATTGGTCTTTGCGTTTTCTTAATTTAGTAATCATTTTCGGTTGTGTCGAACGTCGGACAACTTAAAGAATTTGCGCAGTCCCCTGCAGGTTGGTCTTAACGGTGTTTGACTGTGTGAAGGTTATTACACTTACTTACATACCTGCTTTTGTACACCAGAACCCTCCTGTGTTTGCGATATGTGTCCCGATATATCTATCTAATATACTGGGCGATCTCTTCCTCAAACTACATCCCTACCCACAGCCGGCGTTCTTGGAAGTCGACCTGTTGAGAGAAACTGGCGGTAAGGGGAAATGTGTCGTGACCATGTAACGCTGAGTGCAACTCGCTCGTGTATTGTATCATCGGTCAGTTGAATTGTTTTATCTTGCAGATCACGTGAACGTATGTTTTGTTAGTACGTAGAAAGAATGGTAATGCCATATATTTCTTTTTGCAAACTTTTCGATTTTCCTCCCGATAGTGCCAGTTAACTGTGAAACTACTTTCCAATTTGTCACTATCAATATGTGGAGTTTATGTTTGTTTGTAGTCACGTCAGATTGATGACGCTGGTAGAGTGTGCACTGAAGCCTTGTCATGCCTGAAGTCAGAAGTGGTTATCGATAACATTGAAGCTCACTGTGCTTTACTTTGTTTTTGTGTTTTCAACTTATTGTCAAACAAAATGTTGCATACTAATATTCAAATTCATATTCTGCTTCATGATACAGTTTTGTGCTTCTGTTATTTGCATATTAATTTGAAACTTTGTTTCTTTTATATCACATCATGAAACAGTTATGAACATATTTCTAATGTCCATCCCCTTCCTTTCAATCAGCTGGTCCAAACAGAAATACACTTCCAGTGCTTAAAATATCATACCTATTGTGGAAACTCCACCATTTTGTCTCTGAGGTGCTTATGACCATGTTTACTTGTATTTCTACTGACTCTATGGTATCACACTGCCCTTGTATCTGTACTGACACTCTACCTGTTACTACCATTCTCATACCTGCATGTGTTGTGAAGTGTGTTATTTGTAAACCTAGTTGCAATTGTTTGTTCTTTCAAAACAATCCAACGATCAAAGAAAGAAATGTGATGTAATTAAAATTGTATTCTAAAATTATCAATGCGTACGTGTGTGTATGTGTGTGTGTGTGTGTGTGTGTGTGTATGTATGCATCCATGTATGTTATGTTATGTTACATACGTACTTACGCACGTACTTACGTAAGTAGGTAGGTAGGTAGGTATGTGTGAGTGCGTTTGTGCGTGTGTGTGTCTGTCTGTATGTGTGTGTGTGCGTGTGTGTCTGTCTGTGTTTGTGTCTATGCGTGTCTGTCTGTGTGTATGTGTCTCTGTATGTGTGTCTCTATGCCTCTGTGTGTGTCTGTGTGTGTGTCTCTGCATGTGTGTGCGTGTGTGTCTGTCTGTGTCTGTCTGTCTGTGTGTGTGTGTGTGTGTCTGTCTGTCTGTATGTGTGTGCGTGTGTGTCTGTCTGTGTCTGTGTGTCTGTGTGTGTCTGTCCGTGTGTGTGTGTCTCTGTATGTGTCTCTATGCGTGTGTGTCTGTCTCTGTGTCTGTGTGCGTGTCTGTGCGTTCGTGCGTGTCAAACAGTTGTATGAAACGGTTATTTGAAGAATCATAACACGAGTAATGAACTTATGTAATAAACTAAGGACAATATTGACAATGTAGGGAAACATGCGTTTTGTATTTTCAAATTGTTATATGGCAATGGTACTAAGCCTATTGTGGAAACCCCACCATTTTGGCTCTGAGGTGCTTATGACCATGTTTACTTGTATTTCTACTGACTCTATGGTATCACACTGACCTTGTATCTGTACTGACACTCTACCTGTTACTACCATTCTCATACCTGCATGTGTAGTGAAGTGTGTTATTTGTAAACCTAGTTGCAATTGTTTGTTCTTTCAAAACAATCCAACGATCAAAGAAAGAAATGTGATGTAATTAAAATTGTATTCTAAAATTATCAATGCGTACGTGTGTGTGTGTGTGTGTGTGTGTGTGTGTGTGTGTGTGTGTATGTATGCATCCATGTATGTTATGTTATGTTACATACGTACTTACGCACGTACTTACGTAAGTAGGTAGGTAGGTAGGTATGTGTGAGTGCGTTTGTGCGTGTGTGTGTCTGTCTGTATGTGTGTGCGTGTGTGTCTGTCTGTGTTTGTGTCTATGCGTGTCTGTCTGTGTGTATGTGTATCTGTATGTGTGTGCGTGTGTGTCTGTCTGTGTCTGTGTGTCTGTGTGTGTCTGTCCGTGTGTGTGTGTCTCTGTATGTGTCTCTATGCGTGTGTGTCTGTCTCTGTGTCTGTTTGCGTGTCTGTTTGCGTTCGTGCGTGTCAAACAGTTGTATGAAACGGTTATTTGAAGAATCATAACACGAGTAATGAACTTATGTAATAAACTAAGGACAATATTGACAATGTAGGGAAACATGCGGCATTACCTTAACTTTAACCAACGTATCCGTATGACATCATGAAATGACATCTTAGCCATATCGGACTGAACACAGATCAAACTCATGCGACAGACTTTGTTGGGAGTGAAGATCGAAAATGGCATCACTTTGACGAACGAATTTATTTTAAATACGATTGACTTTGATCACATAAAAATATAATTTCGTAAATTCTGATTTTCTTGACATGTTGGTAGTGCAATTAAGGTAAACATTTCGGTTGTTGAAAACAACAGTCCGAACCAACAACAGTTAGATCTTTGACAGAAAACAACTCCGAGTCAGCAATCTTTGTGAGACTCCAGCGTGTGTTATCCTCGCGCTAGTATCGATTTCCATGGCAACCTCATTCCTGAAGGAGAAGGTCACCGTGGACTGCTTCCGCTTCCAAGGCATGCTGGTACTTGCATGTATTACAGAAGCTGATTAAAATATCTTCTTTCTGGACAGAGGCAGCAACCGTCTCGTGTAACTTTCCTTGAAGAACCATGGGTTTCTACTTGTTCCTATCTGCCATGATTGCGTGTGTATACGGTGAGTACCCCCCAGCGTCCACGTCTGGTAACCCCAGGCTGACAGTGCGTGTTATACCCTCTGTCAAGAAAACGCATCGTTTCCCCATCAACGATTGAGTCAGCTTGTTAAATATATATCAACATAAACTCGTCTAGAAAATGCATCATTTAGATTTTTACATATTGGCTTGCGTTTATTGGCATAAAGAACATTTCTGTAATAAACCGTTTGACAGATTATTGCAAGTTTTAGGTAAACACGTTTTTTATAGTGGCTTCTTTTCTTAGCTGAAGTTACGGGTTCGGGAGAAAGTTATGCAATCACTACAGTGTATATTGATGGCCGCACCAATTCAAAAGGTCAAAGTTGTATTTTTTGACAGTATAAATGCGGACAGTTTGTAATGCTATAAACTGGGTATGTTACTCTTACATATACAAAATTACGCTAAAATGTTGCAGTTTGAGTTTGTTGTGAATGCTGTAGTTGGCACATTGCCTACTCCGATCTGGAATTTTGATGCTGATTATCGAGCTGCATGTTGACTCACACGAAGTGAAGGTTCATGATTCAATGAATCAATGATTGTAACGTCACATCATTGACAACTATGACGATGAAATCTCACTACATGACTCTGAGGGTCACGACTGTTTCCACGATCCCTTGTGGGACGAATTTATTGATTAGTCGATGACGCTTATGCCTGCTCGCCATCTTGGATGGTGATTAACGATCTCTGATATGTACGATGAAGCCAGACCATCCGATGCTGCAGGAGTCAATATGATATGTCCTTGTTGCCGAATTGTCGCCAACGTCCGCGTCGCCATCTACTCCTTTGTTTGACATTTATGTTGAAGCTGTCCCAGAGACGCGGTTATTGCGAGACAACATTGCGTCGGTTGGTAATTGCCTAGTCTTAAATTTCAAAAATCAGACACATCAATGTGTGAAGCCCATTTCTGGTGTCCCCGCCGTGACCTTGCTGTATTGCTAAATAAATCCAAACTCCAGTCAGTTGTTGGTCTAAATTTCATCTGCGTTACCTAGTTTGCTAAATGTCAGTTGTTAGATAATTATCTGCAGTCGTAGTAGGTCGCGCATGAAGTAGTTGTGCAATGTGGGGTAACACTGACAATATATGCTCATACATAATGAGTGGTGACTCATCACCTTACGATCTTTGTAGACCACATGTAGGCTCCGGATCTACATCGACAATGTTCTGGCGCAGAGCGACATTATGCTATTAAGCAAATGCAAACGCTCGAATACAGTGTAATGTGTTATTATCATCAGTTTCTAGTTGTCCAAATTGGCGTCGGATCAAACAGAATCCATGGTAACGTTAACTTTATCGGGTATACAGTTACTGGTTATTCAATTTAATCTGAAAACCACTTCCGGCACGCACAAACACTGGACAAATGAGCAATTGGAGCTTTTGAGCGATACAGTTATATTAAATTTAAATCAGTTTGACTCCACGCACCATTTGGGGGAATATTATGTTGGAGCAGAGTGATACTCATTTCTAACTGACCGAGTTGACAAAACTTTCTTCTCTTGATATATTTGGCTAAAAGTCAAGTTATGATTTAAAGTGCAAAAGTTTAATATAGGCATGGGCGTTCTTTTAGGAAGGAGATAATCCGTTTGTGTATAGTGTTTATGATATAAAACCTTTGGCCTCGACTCCACACTTTCCTGGGGACGGTGTGGTAGCCCAGTGGTTAAGGCGTTCGCTCGCCACGCCGAGACCCGGGATCGATTCCCCACATGAGTACTCTGTGTGAAGGCCATTTCTGGTGTCCCCCGCCTTGATATTGCTGGAATTTGCTAAAAGTGGCGTAAAACTGACTCACCCCATTACCCCCACTTTCCCTATGACAGGTTCGTCACGATATGGCTGAAACATTGCCGATGTGACGTTAAATATGAACTCACTCACTCACCCTATAACAGGTGGCCTCAGTACCGGAACTATCAAACGGGGAAGATCGAGTTTGGCACACAAGCAGGTACTGAGAGAGTCCTTGGCCTGTACCCGCAACTAGAGACGTCTTTTGTAGTAGCACTTCCATAGATTCTACATTTGAACTCATTTTCACATCGTAGAGTATCCTATTGTTGTTCCTGTGAATTAGATAACACCGTACTCTAGCACCCAAGGGGAAACTGATTTCCGTCATGGCGGACTTCATAGCAGCAGCTGCTGCTCATCATAATTCCCCGAAAAATACTGGCACGCTTATAAATCTTAAATGGATATTAGAGTGTTCCCTGAGCATGAAAACATAGCTAAAATACCTACAACCAACAACACCTGGATAGACGTTATCAAAACGGTGTGATTTACTTGCACCCGGCTTACACGAGACAGTTATTTCGCAATGATCAATAGAGTACCATCCACTCACTGCTTCTGTGGCGCCATCAGCCATCTGAGGGAGATCGATATGATTCCATCATCAATGTTGTATTTATTACCCCTTTCTCTGATTAGATTGCTCGCTGCGATAGGATTCAGTTTGACCTGGCAGATCAACAGGTCCCCAACACAGCATACTGAAACCCAGGTCTATGTATTGCATCTCTTGATGCAGGAGCTTTATATACACGTACATTTAGACATCTGGCAGTGGAAGGGGGTAGTTCGGACACAATGGAGTTCTATGGGATACTCTGGAGCGCTATCGGACTCTATGGGACACGATACGACACTATGGGACTCTATAGGACACTGGTACTTTATATGGGGACACTGTGACTCTATGGGGCATTGTGGGACACTGGACTCTATGGGACACTGGGACTCTATGGGACACTGGGACTCTATGGGACACTGTGGGACACTGGGACTCTGTGGGACTCTATGGGACTCTATGGGATACTGTGTGACTCTATGGGATATTGGGACTCTATGGGACACTGGGACTCTATGGGACTCTATGGGACTCTATGGGACACTGGGACTCTATGGGACACTGGGACTCTATGGGACTCTGTGGGACTCTATGGGACTCTGTGGGACTCTATGGGACTCTATGGGACACTGTGGGACACTGTGGGACACTGGGACTCTGTGGGACTCTATGGGACTCTATGGGACACTGTGGGACACTGGGACTCTGTGGGACTCTATGGGACTCTATGGGACACTGGGACTCTATGGGACTCTATGGGACACTGTGGGACACTGGGACTCACTGGGACTCTATGTGACTCTGTGGGACTCTATGGGACTCTATGGGACACTGTGGGACTCTATGGCACACATGTGTGGGACACTGGTACTCTATGGGACACTGGGACTATGGGACACTGTGGGACACTGGGACTCTATGGGACACTGTGGGACACTTGTATTCTATGGGACACTGTGGGAAACTGGGACACTGGGACTCTCTGGGACACTCTGACATTGGTTTATGACAAAATCGGACAAGTATTTCCATTGTTGGTAAAGTCATCACTCTGTATACCGCCTGTGCCGCTGAATAGATCGACCCTGGTAGAGTGAGTTATTCTGTGCTGTATAGACCAACACAACAGGGTCAGATACCAGGCCCGAGTATGCCACTTATTAAATCATGGCGTTTTGTAAGTCGGAAATCAATTCTTATTTAAGAAGCAAGGCTATTCTGGCCATGCTATGAATGGCTGCTCATTATGCTGACTGTCGGTTTTTTCCACCCACTTTACGTCACTCTGGTTGACGAAAACTACTGTACTCAGGTGTCATTCATAGTTCTTGTACCACAGATTGCCAGATAGCTATTTTGCCATATTATATAATTAGCTTATGGCGTTTCTGTGAAGAATGGCTGTAGCACTAACGAGATCACATTCTATTACATCAAAAGGGTGATGTGCACTGAAGGTACCTGCCAGTGACGTGGATGCAGTGTGAGTGTTGTGTGTGTGGCGTGCTAGTATTGTGCGAGTAGTTCGTGAGTGTTGTGTGAGTGTTGTGTGAGTGTTGTGTGAGTGTTGTATGAGTGTTGTGTGAGTGTTGTGTGAGTGTTGCATGAGTGTTGCATGAGTGTTGTGTGAGTGTTGTGCGACTGTTGTTGTGACTGTTGTATGAGTGTTGTGTGAGTGTTGTATGAGTGTTGTGTGAGTGTTGTATGAGTGTTGCGTGAGTGTTGCGTGAGTGTTGTGTGACTGTTGTATGAGTGTTGCACGAGTGTTGCGTGAGTGTTGTGTGAGTGTTGTGTGACTGTTGTATGAGTCTTGCATGAGTGTTGCGTGAGTGTTGTGAGACTGTTGTGTGACTGTTGTCTGTGTTGCATGAGTGTTGTGGGAGTGTTGTGTGAGTGTTGTGTGAGTGTTGTGTGACTGTTGTGTGAGTGTTGTCTGAGTGTTGTGTGAGTGTTGTATGAGTGTTGTATGAGTGTTGTGTGACTGTTGTATGAATGTTGTGTGACTGTTGTGTGAGTGTTGTGTGAGTGTTGCGTGAGTATTGCATGAGTGTTGTGTGAGTGTTGTATGAGTGTAGTGTGAGTATTGTGTGACAGTTGTATAAGTGTTGTGTGACTGTTGTATGAGTGTTGTGTGACTGTTGTATGAGTGTTGTTGGAGTGTTGTATGAGTGTAGTGTGAGTGTTGTGTGACTGTTGTATGAGTGCTGTGTGACTGCTGTATCAGTGCTGTGTGTTTGCTGTATGAGTGCTGTGTGAGTGTTCTGTGAGTGTTGTCTGAGTGTTGTGTAAGTGGTGTATGAGTGTTGTATGAATCTTGTGTGAGTGTTGTGAGAGCGTTGTCTGAGTGTTGTGTAAGCGTTGTATGAGTGCTGTGTTAGTGTTCTGTTAGTGTTGTGTGAGTGTTGCGTAAGTGTTGTGTGAGTGTTGTGTGAGTGTTGTGTGAGTGTTGTGTGAGTGTTGTGTGAGTGTTGTATGAGTGTTGTGTGAGTGTTGTGTGAGTGTTGTATGAGTGTTGTATGAGTGTTGTATGAGTGTTGTGTGAGTGTTGCGTAAGTGTTGCGTGAGTGTTGTATGAGTGTTGTGTGACTGTTGTGTGAGTGTTGTGTGAGTGTTGTATGAGTGTTGTATGAGTGTTGTATGAGTGTTGTGTAAGTGTTGCGTAAGTGTTGTGTGAGTGTTGTGTGAGTGTTGTGTGAGTGTTGTGTGAGTGTTGTGTGAGTGTTGTGTGAGTGTTGTGTGAGTGTTGTGTGAGTGTTGTGTGAGTGTTGTGTGAGTGTTGTGTGAGTGTTGTATGAGTGTTGTATGAGTGTTGTGTGAGTGATGTGTAAGTGTTGTGTAAGTGTTGTATGAGTGCTGTGTTAGTGTTGTGTGAGTGTTGTTTGAGTGTTGTGTGAGTGTTGTGTGAGTGTTGCGTGAGTGTTGTGTGAGTGTTGTATGAGTGTTGTGTGAGTGTTGTGTGAGTGTTGTTGAGTGTTGTTGAGTGTTGTGTGAGTGTTGTATGAGTGTTGTGTGAGTGTTGTGTAAGTGTTGTATGAGTGCTGTGTTAGTGTTGTGTGAGTGTTGTATGAGTGTTGTGTGAGTGTTGTATGAGTGTTGTATGAGTGATGTGTGAGTTATGTGTCAGTGAGTGCTGTGTGATTGATGTGTGGGAATGATTTTGTGAGTAATATCTCATTGTTGTGTTAGTTCTGCATCAGCGATGTTTGAGTACTGTGTGTTATCAGAGGAGTCGTGTTAGTGATGTGTCCACCATGTACCAGTGATTGCATATATCAAGAATATGAATTACGTTATTTGACTTAATTATCAGTTCCACAGTTACCCAATTAGTGTAAATATCACCATCCTATGATTGGGGCGGTTGGTTAGCATCGTGATCAGCATGTCGATGGTCCACGCGGATTCATTCTTGTGACCGCCGCCGATATAGTCGTGGAATGTTGAACGAGGCATAGAGCAATTCATATTTATATGGTCGTGGAATATTGCTAAATGAGGCATAGAGCAAATTGCCAATACATATTCATATGGTCGTGGAATATTGCTAAATGAGGCATAGAGCAATACATATTCATATGGTCGTGGAATATTGCTAAATGAGGCATAGAGCAATACATATTCATATGGTCGTGGAATATTGCTAAATGAGGCATAGAGCAATACATATTCATATGGTCGTGGAATATTGCTAAATGAGGCATAGAGCAATACATATTCATATGGTCGTGGAATATTAGAGTAATACGTATTCATATGCTAAATGAGGCATAGAGCAATACATATTCATATGGTCGTGGAATATTGCTAAATGAGGCATAGAGCAATACATATTCATATGGTCGTGGAATATTGCTAAATGAGGCATAGAGCAATACATATTCATATGGTCGTGGAATATTGCTAAATGAGGCATAGAGCAATACATATTCATATGGTAGTGGAATATTGCTAAATGAGGCATAGAGCAATACATATTCATATGGTAGTGGAATATTGCTAAATGAGGCATAGAGCAATACATATTCATATGGTCGTGGAATATCGCTAAATGAGGCATAGAGCAATACGTATTCATATGGTCGTGGAATAACGCTAAATGAGGCATACAGCAATACGTATTCATATGGTCGTGGAATATTGTTAAATAAGGCACAGAGCAATACATGTTCATATGGTCGTGGAATATTACTAAATGAGGCAATGCATATGCATATGGTCGTTGCATATTGCTAAATGAGGCCTAGAGCAATACATATTTATATGGTCGTGGAATATTACTAAATGAGGCAATGCATATGCATATGGTCGTTGCATATTGCTAAATGAGGACATAGAACAATACATATCATATGGTCGAGGAATATTGCTAAATGAGGTATAGAGCAATACATATTCATATGGTCGTGGAATATTGTTAAATAAGGCATAGAGCAATATGCATTCATATGGTCGTGGAATATTGCTAAATTAGGCATAGAGCAATACATATTCATATGGTCGTGGAATATTGTTAAATAAGGCATAGAGCAATATGTATTCATATAGTCATTGAATATTGCTAAATGAGGCATAGGGCAATATGTATTCATATGGTCGTGGAATATTGCTAAATGAGGCATAGAGCAATACATATTCATATGGTCGTGGAATATTGCTAAATGAGGCATAGAGCAATACATATTCATATGGTCGTGGAATATTGCTAAATGAGGCATAGAGCAATACATATTCATATGGTCGTGGAATATTGCTAAATGAGGCATAGAGCAATACATATTTATATGGTCGTGGAATATTGTTAAATAAGGCATAGAGCAATACATATCATATGGTCGTGGAATATTGCTAAATGAGGCATAGAGCAATACATATTCATATGGTCGTGGAATATTGCTAAATGAGGCATAGAGCAATATGTATTCATATGGTCGTGAAATATTGCTAAATTAGGCATAGAGTAATACGTATTCATATTGTCGTGGAATATTGCTAAACGAGGCATAGGGCAATACATATTCATATGTCATGGAATATTACTAAATTAGGCATAGTGGAATACATATTTATATGGTCGTGGAATATCGCTAAATGAGGCATAGTGCAATACATATTCATATGGTTATCATAATTCTTATGGTCATTTTAGCCGGTCTGGCCGACGCGGGCAAGTGTCCGGCTAATCACACCAAGATGTTGAAGAAATGCACAGAGAAGATACAGGTGAACATCCAGTTGGCTGAGGGACACAAGTTCATCACGGATCCTGAATACACCAAGAAGTTGTGCGAGTAAGTTGGGAAATATAATTGTCCTGAGGTTTTACGACTGAAACTATTCAAACATGGCTTAAAAGAATCGTCTGGATTCCAAACATTTTTTTCACGGACAGTACACCAAGTGTTACATTCTGAATACTCACGTGTCGTAGGTATTAGATAAAATAGGTCGCTACATTCACCGAAAGCCAATTATATCAGTTGCATGTATATATAAATACCAGGGTTAGAATTCGTCTTCATCAACCAAAGCTTGTCGTGAAAGGCTACTAATAGGATCAGGGTCTCGCTGCACATAGCTATCGTAAATCGTAACGCTTTTTCTACAGACGTAGCTTGAAGATGGCTTTGTAGGCACTGGTGGTAAAGGTGCCTGACATTGTTGATGAATGTCATTGTATACGGTTCGTGGAAATTGATGCTCCTGATGTCAGTCACTGAATTGTCTTGTCCAGTTAGTTACGGACCGCCTTTATAAAGTAGGCATGTTGTGAACAGGCATTAAACGATGCTCGCAAAACGACAATCCTATCCTGAGCTATCGATGACACAAACCTCATGTCGACACTACATGTATTGCGTCCTTGTATTACTGTATGTATGTAACATCTCCCTGACTTCCGACAGGGGCGGAGAGGTGGACCAGGCCATCAGCTGCATGGAGACCGTCTACAGCGATTGCTCTGAGGAGGGGATGGAAGACTTTGATTTGCTCGTCAATCCCAAAAGCTGGCGGTCCGCTATGAAGGAGATCTGCAAGAACAAAAAATGTCAGTACCGTTTGAGGTCGCTTCCACGTCATCCCTCTCTTACATATCCCCAAACCCTCTCTTACATATCCCCAAACCCTCTCTTACATATCCCCAAACCATCTCTTACATATCCCCAAACCCTCTCTCCTACATATCCCCAAACCCTCTCTTACATATCCCAAAATCCACTCTCAAAATTCTAATCCTGAAAAGATCCTTTTCCTTATATATTTTAAAATTTGGTATTGAATGTATTTCTGTGAATGAATACATGCGATGAACGCATACTCTCCAGTTATTATCTGTATACATCTGTGTTACATTTTCGTTGGTGTAGTTATTATCTCCCTTTGTTTACCATTAACTTGGCACATGGTTTGTCTTGTCTGTGAACTTGATTTCAACTACTAGTCAAATCAGGCTTTTGATAATAGGACAGAATGAGTTCCATTCAAAACGTGGAGTTGTACGAGCCAGTTCTCCAAAGAGACATGTTGAGTTTCATTCACCTGATGAAGGAATAAGAACATCTGTGTAAACTTGTCGAAGCGACTCCCCCTCCTGTATCGTCTGCCTCTTATTGCCTGTCCTCTTCCAAGCTTTCCCCCACTTCTTCCTCCCGCTCCACCTTGTCTCCCTTATCCAGCTTGCCCTCTTCCCAGCTTCCCCCCACTTCTTCCTCCCGCTCCACCTTGTCTTCCTTATCCAGCTTGCCCTCTTGCCAGCTTCCCCCACTTCTTCCTCCTGCTCCACCTTGTCTTCCTTATCCAGCTTGCCCTCTTCCCAGCTACCCCCACTTCTTCCTCCTGCTCCACCTTGTCTTCCTTATCCAGCTTGCCCTCTTGCCAGCCTCCCCCCTACTTCTTCCTCCTGCTCCACCTGTCTTCCTTGCCCTATCCAGCTTGCCCTCATCCCAGCTTCCCCCACTTCTTCCTCCCAGCTCCACCTTGTCTTCCTTATCCAGCTTGCCCTCTTCCCAGCTCCCCACTTCTTCCTTCCCCTCTGCCAGCTGCTTCCACCTTGTCTTTGTTATCCCTCTTCCCCAGCTCCCCCACCCTGCTCCTCCTTCCTCTTCCCCACTTCTCCCCAGTGCTCCACAGCTACCCCCACTTCTTCCCCCTGTTCTCCACCTTTGTCTTCCTTATCCAGCTTGCTCTTCCCAGTTCCCCCACTCTCTCTTCCCCCTGCTCCACTCTTCCTTCCTTATCCAGCTTGCCCCTCTCCCCCATCTCCCAGTCCATTTCCCCTTCCACAGTCCTTGGTTCTTCATTATCCATTTCACCTTCCTCCACCATGTCTTCCATATATCCAGCTTGCCTCTCCAGCTTCCCCACCTCCCCCCCTGTCTTCCTGATCTCCTCCAGCTTGCTCTTCCTTAAGCTTCCCCCCTTCTCCCCCTGCTCCACCATGTCTTCCTTATCCTTGCCTCTTCCAGCTTCCCACTTCTTCCCCCTTGCTCCACCATGTCTTCCTTATCCAGCTTCTGCCCTCTTGCCAGCTTCCCCTTCTTCCTCCTGCTCCACCATGTCTTCCTTATCCATTTTGCCCCTCTCCAGCTTCCTCCACTGTCTTTCTTCCTTGCTTCCACCATGTCTCCTTTCCTGTGTCTTGTCCATTTTCCTGTGTCTTCCCTGCTCCACTGTATGTCTTCTTTATCCAGCTTGTGCTCCTGCTGGTCCCCCACTTCTTCCCCTGCTCCACCATAATCTTTCCTATCCGGCCTGCCTTGCTGGCTTCCCCACTCCTCCTCCTGCTCCACAATGTCTTGTTTATCCGGCTTGCCCTCTTGCCAGTTTCCCCCACCTCTTCCATGCCCATCATGCTGTCTCCTTATCCAGCTTGTTCTCACAGCTTCTGCCCCACTCTCTTTCCCCCCTTGCTCCACCTTTGTTCTCCTTATCCAGTTTGCTCTTCTTTGTCAGCTTCCCACTTCTTCCCCCCCTGCTCCACCATGTCTCCCTGATTGAACTCTGTCCTCTGTGCTAGCTTCCCCCCTTCTCTCTTCCCTCTGCTCCACCTCATGTTCTCGTCTTATCCAGCTTGCTGTTATATCACCATTTCCCGTCCCACCTTTCACAATGCCACCTGCTATAAGTCACCATTCCTTGTCCCACCTTTCACTATGCCACCTGCTATCGTCAGCATTTCTTGTCCCTGCTTCCACCATGCCATCTAGCTGCGTCAGCACCCTTGGTCCCCACCCCTGCCCATGTTAGCTGCCCCTGCCCCTGCCCCTGCCTCCTGTCGCCTACCCCGTTGTCACTTCTGCTTCCAAGGGTAGTCTGTCCCTGCAGCTTGCTCTCTACAACATGTCCTGGGGAGATGTGTGGCGAACGAGGCGAGTGTGAACCAGAACAGTCTCGCCGCTGAAACTGGGTAAAAATAGAATCAAGATAAAGAAGGCATACAGAGTTCTCTCCCTTTATGTAGCTTTTCTCGCGGACCTGAATAGTAACATTACATATATTGCTAAAAGAACTGATCATTCAACGTCTATGTGTGCCTATGTTTTGTGTGTATAGATACGTGCATAAGTGAAAAAAAAATATTAAAAGAAATAAAAGGGAAAAAGAAATAAAAATACCGGTGTGAAAATATATGTGGTCACATTCAGTGTTGGTTGTCAAAACGACAGCGTTGAAATGACTGGTTAGTTACTGGATTGATGCACATTATCCACAAATACAGATCTTACTCAAAATCATCCAGCTCAGATGTCTCGATCTGCGCTGTTACGGAAGACGACTGACTGTGTGTAGGAGAACCAAGAGGAGGTGAAGGATTCTTGGTCTGAAGGACCCTCTGCGCCTTGCTTTCTACACAGTTCATTACACGCTGATTACATTATCACGCAAGAGAATAAAAATGTCTCAGGATTATAATTATAATGATTATGGAAAGAGTTATGTTGACTTTATAAATGGTGTGGTCATTCGTATGCATCTTGTTTGACGCCGCAGACATCGTGACCGACAAACTAGTGGTTGACATCACGAACAAACACAGTGACACTCAGCTTGCTATACGATACGGCTACACGCATTCACGTCGTTGGCTTCGTCCACAGTGACACTCAGCTTGCTATACGATACGGCTACACGCATTCACGTCGTTGGCTTCGACCACAGTGACACTCAGCTTGCTATACGATACGGCTACAAGCATTCACGTCGTTGGCTTCGTCCACAGTGACACTCAGCTTGCTATACGATACGGCTACACGCATTCACGTCGTTGGCTTCGTCCACAGTGACACTCAGCTTGCTATACGATACGGCTACAAGCATTCACGTCGTTGGCTTCGTCCACAGTGACACTCAGCTTGCTATACGATACGGCTACACGCATTCACGTCGTTGGCTTCGTCCACAGTGACACTCAGCTTGCTATACGATACGGCTACAAGCATTCACGTCGTTGGCTTCGACCACAGTGACACTCAGCTTGCTATACGATACGGCTACACGCATTCACGTCGTTGGCTTCGTCCACAGTGACACTCAGCTTGCTATACGATACGGCTACAAGCATTCACGTCGTTGGCTTCCACCACAGTGAAACAGTGTAGCACTAGAGAGGTTCTGTTGCGTGGTGTCAGTGACAGGGAGGGTCTTTGTGACTGTTTTCTCACGTTAAACTGACATGTAAAAGAAATACTGTTGAACTGTTCAGATGAGGAGGTGATTTTATTATATTTCATCGGCTCTGATAAAAATACCGTGCAAGGGAGATGACATACACTAAGCAGGAAAGATCTGATGTTCGGGGTGAGGGTAAATTGTTTCAGGTCCTGAACTGATTGGAGAAAACATATCCTGCACACACACGCGCACACGCAGCACGCACACAGACACACACAGACTCACCTATTCGAATATTGTTAAACACGGCGTGGAAGTCTTCTTCGCCATTCACAGACTCATGCCTGACCCTTAAAATCACTGAGCCAGCTTTCCCTTGTCACTATCACTGACTTGAATATTGAAGACCTTCCGAGAAACCGATGACATGTTTCGACAAGACCCTCTTGAAGCACTGCCATCTTTCCCTTGTCACTATCACTGACTCTAATATCAATTGCAGACTGTCCGAACAGCTGTTGACATGCTTCGACAAGACCATCTTGAAGCACTGCCCCAAGAAGGTGGAGAAAATCATAGATGACTGCCTGCACAAGTTTCTCCCTCCAATCTGCCATCCCAAAACTAGCTACAAGACCATCAACGACGACAACAGCTCCTCCATTTCCCTCCCTGCGACTGTAACGGTGGTCGTTAGCGTGCTCATGTGCCTTCGATCAATCTTGTAAATGTGACTAGAAACGCCATGTTTTGTATGTTTGTTGGAACAGTGTTAACAGGCATTTTATATCCCACCAACTTGATTAATTTGTAAGATACATTCTGTTAAAAAGTTTGACATCTTTGTGTAATATATCAATATCTTATCATACTTTTGAAATTAATGACGTCGTCTTAAAAGACCTCAGCTCAGTTTTACATAAATCTTGTTACGAGACTGAAAATACTCTCACTCATGGTCTCAACTTGCTTTGGATATTATATATATATATACATGTAAAATATATACAAACTTTTGTACATTCCTTGTCATGACATACTGATGATACGGATGTTTCTAATTATTTCAAGCTAATGTAATGTTTCAAGGCTCCGAGATACCATAGTGTAACCTTGAATCGGACGTGTTCGCGTGAGTAACGGTTGTTGGGAAACCTTATAAGAAGACTCGGTTAAACGCTTCATAAAGTCATCACTCTCCCCATCGCTGTAGTATAACGAGGTCAGCGATACAAAGGAGAATCACACAGTGCATCATCAGCTGTTTCTGAAGTCCTCCAACACTGGATAGCTAGTGTGAAATGCTGTGGAAATTGTTCTGAACCTAAACAGTCTGAGGTTAATAGTGTGGTGATTGGGATAGGTTCAATATGACTTCAGTACCTACAATGCCAATAATTGTTATACATTTTCAGGAACACCAAAGTATCTTGTTTAGAAGTCACCATTAGGGGACATCGATACAAGCCTCAATATGAGTTGGCATATAGCATGCTTCATGGTGTTATCGAACGTAGACGGGTGGCGATTTGTGACACGAATTATGTCTAGGGAGATATACAAGCGGGTTATTTTCAACACGAAGATTTGAGATACTTACAAGTGTACTGTGTTTATGGTGATCTGAACAGTCACTTTAGTCTGGTGGTGTAAGGTCCGGGGCGTGTTCTTGTCAGAGGTCATGCATCAGATGAAGAACACGTTGTGGCGGAGAGTAGGTGGATGGGTGGTGTGTTCTTGTCAGAGCGCACAGGTCACAAATCAGATGAAGAACACGTTGTGGCGGAGAGTAGGCGGATGGGTGGCGTGTTCTTGTCAGAGCGCACAGGTCACAAATCAGATGAAGAACACGTTGTGGCGGAGAGTAGGCGGATGGGTGGCGTGTTCTTGTCAGAGCACACAGGTCACAAATCAGATGAAGAACACGTTGTGGCGGAGAGTAGGCGGATGGGTGGCGTGTTCTTGTCAGAGCACACAGGTCACAAATCAGATGAAGAACACGTTGTGGCGGAGAGTAGGCGGATGGGTGGCGTGTTCTTGTCAGAGGACACAGGTCACAAATCAGACGAAGAACACGTTGTGGCGGAGAGTGGCTGGATGGGTGGCCGTTTTCTGCAGGTCTTCTGTCCAACAGTACATTGAAGCACATGTAACCATCGTGGTGCCACCTTTGGTGGAATTGTATACTTCCCAGTGGGCTGGGAAAGTAATGGAACGTACATTGATCCAAGAACATTGGTAAACTGAGGTTACGCATCATCCATGGACGATTTCCTGTCACTTGATCATAATGCTGTATATGCTTCTGGTAGGGTTTGATGTGTCGGAATATTTCAATATTATCGATATGCAATGCCTTATTGTTGTTTACACAGCTGTGTTCTTTAGAACAAGACTCCAGCTACACAGATGCTTCAGCTACACAGAAAACGGAGCTGTCAGATTTAAAACAAATGAAACAACAAATATAACGTTAGTATGAAGTAAATATTTCACATCAGAAATTCTCCTTGCCAGACGTACACCTGAATCACCCACTATGTTTGTCAATATTGAATGGCAAAGTTTTAATGTTGTATTGAAATATCTAACGAAACACAGTTGTTTACAATCTGTAAATACTCAAACTACAGACACGGAAGTTGTTTCTACAAATGACAGTTCTGTCTTTCAATGCTTCCCCTGCTTTTGTGCATCGTTGCCCAGTACTTGCGACATTCAGTAATTACTGAGGTATGAAGGTATATTACCGAGGTTTATCTAACCATATGTAGATATTCTCAAAGGGTACACGGAGGAATGGGATACATAAAACAAGGAAGACACGAGGCTTAGCTCGCCTCAACGTATTGTAAACTGGCGGACGGAAGAAAGTACGCCTTGGAAATTGAATTTGACCAAAAACTATCTTGGCTGGCATAGATAGATATGCTGCATGTATTACCGCCTGTGGTACCTGCATCAAATACAGCGCCATGGAAAGGACAGTGCATGTTTGTGTCATATCTTACAGCCATCAAACGTGGGTGTATACTTTCTTTCGTCCTTCAGTATATGGTCGTATACAGAGATATAAAGATATACGTTTCTTGTGGACTGATACACTGCTGACAATAGTGTTAGATCAGCTGGCTGAATTTCATATCGGTGTCATGTTACTCTTAAAAGTTATATTAAAACGTTAATATTTTATCCTAATCTGTAAACGGTTCTACGCTTATTGGAGATACGGAGTGTTCTATGCAAGATAGATCGTGAATGTGTTCGTGTTCAGTTCTTTATCGAGGTGTAATATTGGTATTTCCTTGAGTAGAGATTACTAAAACATACTTTAAACAAAATCGTTCAGCATGAATACTAAAATACTCATACCTGTCTTAGAGTGTTTTCAAATTGTTGAGTAAAATGTTATTTTATCATATACCAATTTAGATATTGTTCGTAGATGTCTTGGTGTATCTTATATCGTATGTACTTTAAGTGTGTTTAATACCAATAATGTGATATACTAAATATGCCTGTAAGTAGTGTTTTCTGAATATACGTGTACTAATTGGATGAAATATCGTACAATTCCTTTGTAATAAAGTCGTCGTTGTGTTCATGATATGTTTGGTGTCTAATATACAGGTATCTCGCGTGGGTTTGTCAGTCTACGTAAAAGTATATGCAGGCACATTTCACGATATATATCACTAGGGGTGGTGGGGTAGCCTAGTGGTTAAAGCGTTCGCTCATCACGCCGTAGACCCGGTTCGATTCCCAACATGGGTACAATGTGTGAAGCCCATTTCTGTTGTTCTCCGCCCTGATATTGTTGGAATATTGCTAAAAGCGGCGTAAAACTAGACTCACTCGCTTAGCAGCGCTTGCTGCAGAAAGACGTGGATGGGCGACACTCAATGATTCTGGGTTCAGGTATTGTCCCACCCAGGGAGAAAAACATTTCATTTACAGGAGAACTATCTGCTGAAAGCAGAAACGGTTTACGATTTCGACCACATCAAATCAGTGTGAATCAAACGCTGTCAAGTGTTGACGTAAAGGTGAACGTACCATGCCACGCCCATCACAAACACATGCAAAGACAAGTCATGCGTTCAAGGAACCCGGAAACGTTTCGTACTGAGTCAAAATCACTAGCTTGCAAAGTCAAGTCATGCGTTCAAGGAACCCGGAAACGTTTCATACTAAGTCAAAATCACAAACACTTGCAAAGTCAAGTCATGCGTTCAAGGATCCCGGAAACGTTTCGTACTGAGTCAAAATCACTAGCTTGCAAAGTCAAGTCATGCGTTCAAGGAACCCGGAAACGTTTCCTACTAAGTCAAAATCACAAACACTTGGAAAAACAAGTCATGCTTTCAAGGAACCCGGAAACGTTTCCTACTTAGTCAAAATCACAAACACTTGCAAAATCAAGTCATGCGTTCAAGGAACCCGGAAACGTTTCATACCTAGTCAAAATCACAAACACTTGCAAAGTCAAGTCATGCGTTCAAGGAACCCGGAAACGTTTCGTCAAAATCACAAACACATGCAGACAAGTCATGCGTTCAAGGAACCCGGAAACGTTTCGTACTAAGTCAAAATGGGGAAATGCACATGACATCATTGGGTTACAGATGTGACACATAGGAAATCCACGTGTTATTCACATCTACCCTAAAGAATGCCGTTTTCATAAAGAAACAAATGTACATACTGATCCGTGAGTGCATATGTTGATGGATTTGCAGCTTCCTTCTTTGCAAGAGGCAGATGAGATTAAAAATAACAATACGCGCTGTATGTGATCTCTTAGGCAAGTAGTTTAGAAATTCAACTTCTTTTACGAAAAAACTAACTGGCCACAGATACAGTGAATAAGTAAAACTTGTGCACCCTGTAGTGAGTTAAGAAAGAAATAGACATGAACAAAAACATACCCGTAGTGCTCGGCTATTTAGTAGTAGTAGTAGCAGTAGCAGTAGTAGTAGTTGTAGCAGTAGTAGTAGTAGTAGTAGTAGTAGTAGTAGTAGTAGCAGCAGTAGTAGTAGTAGTAGTAGTAGTAGTAGCAGTAGTAGTAGTAGTAGTAGCAGTAGTAGCAGTAGTAGTAGCAGTAGTAGTAGTAGTAGCAGCAGCAGCAGTAGTAGTAGTAGTAGTAGTAGTAGTAGTAGTAGTTGTAGTAGTAGTAGTAGTAGTAGTAGTAGTAGTAGTAGTAGTAGTAGCAGCAGTAGTAGTAGTTGTAGCGGTTGTAGTAGCAGTTGTTGTAGTGGCGCGTTAGCAATGGGAGTCACCAGCATGTGAACCAATTTTAACTGTATAGTGTAAAGTTTAGAAGTTAAGATAAAATCGCAATGTAAAGACACGTGCATAGAAAAAATCTCCGTTTTGTTGATATTGATAACATTGGCAGAATGATATAGCCAAGCAACGTCGTTTCATAACTAAACATATATCGGTGTCTCCTTTGCGCTGCGCATGTTTCTCAAGCCAAAGCATCCTTAAACAAACAGACACTGATATCTGTTACTGGTGGAATGGAATTTCGGTGAATGTGTTTATTTCTTGCGTACAGCTACCCAGTCCTGGGCTACGGACGTGACATTACCCACGAAACGTGGAGAAGGTGGATCGTGCTCGCCATCGAGAACGGCATCTGTCAGTTGGCCTCAGCGACTTGTACCCCAAACACTGAGCAGGGCTCACTAGCCCAGCCACCATAGTGGAAACACTCAAAGTTTCAAGATTATACAGGAATATTGTTTCAGATGTTCAGGCATCAAAGACGAGAAAGTGCATTTCCTTCTGTTTCTCCTCTGCGTCACACAAACGTAGATACCTCACCTTGTGTTCCCGTTCATCAAAGAGTTTTGACTTTCCTTGGATGCATGTGTGCATCATTTGGACCGCTACAACGAGATGATTGGAAACGTTGTGTAACAGTACTTCTTTACATGGCAACTACACAGTCGGAGACACGTACATGTAGAGAATCGTTCATGCGGCTTATCGGTGGAATAGATCTTCAAGTTGTGCTGGTGTAGGCCGTCAAAGACGGTCGCCGTGCTGAAGGCAGGACACGGCGTTACAAAGATTATATTTCACACGTTTACATCACAACCCAACGTTTTTATATCGGCGGAATATCAAGCGCCTTCACGCGTTGACTCAATACAATTAAGCCACGTGGGCACTCTTGGCGCCCAGTCGGAAGGAAATTACACCGGCAATTTGAGAGAGGCTGGGTCCGCACAGAAAACCTTGTGTCAAAACACACACCACTCAACGCGGAGTTGTTCAGCTTTATTATTCCTGGTCGAATCTTGTCCAAAGATGAATCTAGTTGAGATTTCAGGGATCCTCTTATGGATATGCGGTAAGTAGAGTTTAGAATGTCTTTAAAGACTATTTCATTTCCTTTAATGTAAGAAATGAAGTATCGTTTCATGCAACCTTTACCCGAACTCTATATGTTGGGAACAAGCTTCACTCATTACATGTTGGAGACCCATACTGGGTTTCGAACCTGCGCTTAGTAATGACGAATGGGAACGATAGCGCTGAACTGACTTGCCCCCTTGATGAGAGTACAGAGAAATCCTTTGACTAATAACAAGCATCCTGCCATATTTTGTAGTATCTGTTTTAAGTATTCGTACATGTATTTGATAATCTGATTATAATTCACAAAAACATGAACATGTTCCTTCAGCGCCTGCCATCGTAGTACGATGTTTTGATGTATGGAATAAGTTTTTTTATTTATCAAACAGTAGCTCAGTGTCGACGGAATTCCCGCTCGGCGCGTACAGAGGCCTCTGAAAACGTGCGGTTAGAGCCGGTTGAATTGTGAGCGTAATATACATACGGCTTATCAACAAGTTTCCATGCCAGTCTAGGGTTACAGATGATGGCGAGTGATGTGATAATCTTGTACTGCATCTCTCTATGGCACCAGACAGATATGTACTACAGCTGTGAATGCACGGGCTATGTTAGACAGAATGTCAGAGTCCATGGGGAAGCCATGGGAAGCCTTTGATGTCAGTAAACAGACCTTCTACATTTAAGGACCCCCATGATTGTTCGAGGGAAACAGAAAAATACACCCTTTCTTTAAAATAGCGTGAGATTGACATACACAGTATGTAAACATGTAAATGTGACTACGAACCTGTGATAAATACACCCAGTTTTTGTTTCATTAATACCCTGAAGGTCAACACGTACAGCCAACGTTCACTTTTGAGCTCTTCAACGATATTAACTGAGTTTAAGTTTTACGCCGCTTTTAGCAATATTCCAGCAATATCACGGAGGGGGACACCAGAAATAGGCTTCACAAATTGTGCCCATGTGGGGAATCGAACCCGGGTCTTCGGCGTGAACCACTAGCTTCGGCGTGAACGCTTTAACCACTAGGCTACCCCACCGGCCCTCAACGATATTAACGGAAATCTACATTTTGTGATGAAACTAATAATAGCAAGTGTATTTTGGACAGGAAAAAGATACTTTGTAGTGACCTATGTGAGCTTAAGTACATACTAGTGCTTGATCAGATCTGGTTGAAGTTGTGTTTCTATTCCAGTATATTGAATACACACAGTCTGGAGATGTACGTTCATGTATGTACGCGTTGACATATGGTTGTGTTGAGAATGGAAAGATCCACAAAGGAGACGATAAGACTGACAATAAAATCAGCTTGATACAACACCTAGGATTATGTATACACGTTGCACACACACGCAGACGCACGCACACACACGCACGCACGCTCACGCACGCACGGAGGACGTACTACAGGAGACGATTCTAAATCAACGGCGTGTTTTTTTTTGTCTTTTAATGCAGCAATATTTGATTTCACCTTGTTACAAAAATAGAAGTGTAGGATCTGACAGCAGTATAATATAACGAAACATTACATCTATCATTGCTGATGAATATTATTTGTTCTGGACTCGAATATTCATTAACCGCCGCTATATAGCAGGTATTTTGTGCATACGGAACAAGTTTAAAATTTAATAACCCACCACAGTTATATCACACAATGCAGACTGAACTGAAGAAGTACTTCTGCAATGTCGTGTACTGTTACAAAAGAATGTCTGTACAAGCATCTCAATAATTAGTTTAATTGCTGTATTGTTAACATTATCGATGTATTATTCTCTGCTGCAGGCATATTTGATCGCCTTACTTCCGCCTCGCGGGATATCGTGGAGCCCTTGTGTGGTTTCCCCCTTTACAAACGGCGTGCATCTAATTGTTTCCGTCACGTCTACAGTAAACCAGTCAAAGGAATATAAGTACCAGGAGAATAGTACATTTTAAAACTGACCTCAATTCAGTTTTCTCACGGCTGCTGTTTTTAAGAGTTTCCTTACGAACTGTATTAAACAAAGCCAGGTACGTAGCTCACACCCCCCTAATTTAATTCCACAAACAGGGTCTGTGAGGTTTGTTAGAGTTGGTATAGTATTTCTACGGTCGGGGCATTATATTTCATACAGCCCTAGAGTATTTAATGTACGGTCCAGGCACTCGAGATTTGGCCAGCTGAGTCAAGTGCTGCCATCTGACGGGATGACGACTAATTAAATACAATGAGTGGTTCACGCGCGGTTGACTCATGCCGCGGACATGAGGAGTTGTAGGGATTGCTTGGTTTCATTGTGATCAGTGCTCAGACACTCATGTCGGTGTTCCACAAGATGATGCTGTCGGAATCGCGTTCTCTTCTTTTAGTACAGATTCCTGATTGTGTCACTTTGTATTGTATATTTATAATGGTGACTCATATTTGGAGTTACAATCTTTCTGAAAGTACACATTGTAGTACTGTTTTGAGTGAGTGAGTTTAGTTTTACACCGCTTTTCGCAATATTCCAGCAACATCACGGCGGAGTACTGTTTTGGGTTGAGTCCCAATGCTTTCGGGGTCACGTACCTAATCACCAGTAGACAAAGTCAGCAATCTAACCCACTCAGCCAGTAGACAAAGTCAGCAATCTAACCCACTCAGCCAATGCGGCTTCCACGAAGATGGAAGGCTGACAACAGGCAGCCTGGATCCCATACTTCCTGTTCCCCCTCTGACAAGTGTAAATTGGCGCGGCACCCAGGGCCGAAGCTAGAAATACACAAACCCTTTTATAAATATACCATATGTTACATTTCACTGCTTTCTAAAAGGCGTTGTCTTCTCAGTGATGGCTCTACATGTAAGGAATGTTGCTGATGAAGCCTACATAAACCGCCCAGCATCTATTCATGTTCGCTACAGCATACATCACACGTGTTCTTATGTGACCCTACTCCATCTGAAGATGCTTTGTAGGTGTAGTGAGTGAGTGAGTGAGTGAGTGAGTGAGTGAGTGAGTGAGTGAGTGAGAGAGTGAGTGAGTGAGTGACAGACTGACTGAACGCCGCTTTCAACAGTATAACAGTTTAATCACGTTGTGTCAGCTTGCTGTGGGAATGAAGTTCTCGGATCCCTAACACCTCGGATTCATTGCTGATACGTAATCAGGCGAGATTCGGATCTATGATCGCAGGTTTCTGGCACGTACAAGGGAGGCAACTCTGAAAGTCTTCGTTGACGACTGGATTAGCTCTGCTCCCCCACTGCCCACTTCTCGCCCATACTCCTAAACTTTATGAGAAATTAACACTGTCTGCAGATAATGCAAGCGTTCACTTGCTGCCGTTTGAACGTAATGGGGTGTCGTGACAAAATCCCATCAATGATTATTGGCAGGGCTATTTCAACACTATGTGTAATCTTAATTGTATGTAGTGCTGACGGTAGACGCAAAGTATACGTTTTGTCCCATATTTTACAATATACTAATGCCAATTGAAAGTGTCCAGCTTCTTCAGGATTATATACACATGCACTGTCAAAACGCAAACGTGTTGGTACCACTCACGTACTATAACCGTTTTTACTTGTAGTACGGGCCTCTGGCCTGCAGTTTAGACATAAAGAATAACTGAATGTTGTTTACGAGAGGCAAAGGGCTGTAGGCAGTGATGTTTGTAGAGAAGAGGGGTTGTTGGAGGTTGTGTTTGCAGAGGCAAAGGGCTGTAGGCAGTGATGTTTGTAGAGAAGAGGGGTTGTTGGAGGTTGTGTTTGCAGAGGCAGAGTTGAAGGCGGTGATATTGAAACCAGTCGATGGTTTTAGCAGAGCTCTTTGTATGCGTGAAGTGTTTCTGTAAGTGATATCTGTGCACGTTAATGCTTGTACGCAGTGATATTGATTGTAAGGCAATACATTTTTGTGCAGTTCATTTCTTTCAGTAATAGTTGATATTTTAGGTTAACGTTTATGGATGGAGGCCTTTGTAAATGTTAAATGTTTTAGACAGGGGTGCTCGTTTAGGCTCAATGTTTGTTTCAGGCGTATATTTGTAGGCAGGGGTGTCTGTACATGCCAGTGAATATTGGTAAGGATGCTATGAGGCAGGAATATATGAAATTGCTGAGGTTTGAGTCAGGAGTGAGTCTTACAGGTTGTAAGTTGGGGGGTGTCTGTGCAGTGGAGGGTTGTAAGTAGTGTACAGAGTCGAGGTTTGTTGGCAGGGATGTATGTACAGACTGAGGTTTGAAGGCAGGGGTGTATGTAAAGGCAGGGGTGTATGTACAGGCTGAGGTTTGTAGGCATGGATGTATGTACAGGCTGAGGTTTGTAGGCAGGGATGTATGTACAGGCTGAGGTTTGTAGGCAGGGATGTATGTACAGGCTGAGGTTTGTAGGCATGGATGTATGTACAGGCTGGGGTTTGTAGAAGGGATGTATGTACAGGCTGAGGTTTGTAGGCATGGATGTATGTACAGGCTGAGGTTTGTAGGAAGGGATGTATGTACAGGCTGAGGTTTGTAGGAAGGGATGTATGTACAGGCTGAGGTTTGTAGGCAGGGATGTATGTACAGGCTGAGGTTTGAAGATGTATGTACAGGCTGGGAGGGGTGTAGGCAGGGGTGTATGTACAGGCTGAGGTTTGTAGGCAGGGATGTATGTACAGGCTGAGGTTGAAGGCAGGGATGTGTACAGGCTGAGGTTTGTAGGCAGGGATGTATGTACAGGCTGAGGTTTGAAGGAACAGGGATGTATAGGTGACAGGCTGAGGTTTGTAGGAAGGGATGTATGTACAGGCTGAGGTTTGTAGGCAGGGATGTATGTACAGGCTGAGGTTTGTAGGCATGAGATGTATGTACAGGCTGAGGTTTGTAGGCAGGGTGTATGTACAGGCTGAGGTTTGTAGGCATGGACAGGCAGGCTGAGTTTGTATGGCTGAGAGGTACAGGCAGGCTGGGGTGAGGTTTGTAGGCAGGGATGTATGTACAGGCTGGGATGTTTGTAG